ACTTTTCATGCGAAGCAACTTGGCGAGATGAAGTAGAACTTCGCGTGGAAGTTGTGCGCTCCTAAGCAGAGGGGAGGTGGGATAAAAGTTGCTTTGCGTAGAAAATCGTAAAATATATTTTAAAGCAGAAAATTTCTGTTTCATATATAGTAGTTAAGAGACACCATTTTTCAAACTTATTTTATTAATAATTTTTTAACAAAGGACGCGACCGCCACCTAAAACCTGTTGGAAGTCACTCAAGGTCAAGATCATGGAGGATAATCCCTTGTAGAGTGTGTGTATATTTAATAAAATATTACTTATAAATATCAACATGTCAACATTTACGAAAAATAAAAATATTTCTGTGCAATTTTTTGTTGCGCAAGCACTTAAAAAAAAGAAAGTATTTATTTATTTTAGCAGATGAATCAACGTCTATTTAATGTTTTCACATTTTAGACTGAATTAGGTGACATAGATGTTTTACATTAAAAATTCAAAATAAATTATATAAAATTAAATTAATTATTTGAACTAATTCGCGGTTTTGATATAGTTAGATTCGGCGGTTCTCTATGACGCAGTATTTTTGTTGTATGAGGCATTAGAGACTCTAAATGCAAGAAATATTGAAAATAAAGTATATATGTCCATTGATCCTGTACGACTTTCTTGTATCGATAAAACTACAATGTATGAAGCAGGGCCTAATATCGTCAGTGTTATGCAAAAGGTGAGAAAAAGATTTTTTTTTATTACTTCTTATATAACAAAAAAATGGCAATTTGGCTTTAAGTCTTAAGAATATATATGTATATATGATTTTTATTATTCTTTATAATACATATTATGAAGAAAGTAATTTAATTAATAACGATTTTCTTACATTTTTATGTACATTTGCATAAAAAAATAAACTCTTCAAAGTTTAATGCCACATTAAATTTATTAAATGTGACTGACATAATAACTGTACTAATATTCATTGTTTGAACACGACTGTACAAATAATAAACATTCGCGAAAAAATATTGAAAAATTAATATCAAGTCTTTATTATATTTATTTTTAACATAAGAAAATTAATTTTTTCTTAAATAGATATCAAAGAAAGGAAAAATAACAGGCATTATGAACATTGATGAATATGGTCGTCGACAACATTTTAATGTAAAAATCTTGAACTTTCAACAATCGGGTGTGATACAAACAGGTTATTGGGACTTTAATGGTATACATACCACACAGATTAAGGAGGAGAAGGATATCTATTTAGAAAGATTCATGGAAGAAAAAATATTCAAGATTAGCGTATACGTAGTCCGTAGTATTATTTAACATATTAATTATAGCTCTGACATTAAGATTATATGTTGTTAGCTATTAAATAGAAATATATCTTGTCAATTCATTATGTAATTCATAAATTATAAGAGAGGATTTAAAGTTATATTACATGTATAGTTTGAGAAAGATATTTATAATAAGTACAGAAAAGAGCAAAAATTGAAAACATCGTATTTAATAATATTACTTTAATGCTTCAATATAGATATTTCTTTTGATATAAAAACAGAAATATTGTATATCACGAATGATATATCATTAGTGGTATACATAAGCGAACGAATTAAATCAATAAAGTCACATGTAATTGTTCTACGAATATTTCCTCTCTTAGCTCTTCTTTTTATTCATACAAATATTTTTGAAGATATGAAATATGTAATAACTTTCTTCGATTTTTAGTATCCACCCTACGTTATGGAATCGTATGAATTTCATTTTAAAATAATTTTAAGGATTTATCAAGGTTTTTGCATCGATCTGATTAAGCATATCGCAAAGATTTTAAAGTTTAAAGGGGTAGTTTTCCAACGCGTAACTGATGGATATGGTTCTTACAATCCACAAACGAAGACCTGGAATGGTCTAATCAGGAGCATTTTGGATCATGTAAGTAAAACGTCCTGCATTTTACAGAGGGAAAAAATGATTTGTTAAAATATCTAAAAATGTTGCTAGATACAAAATAATTGTATCTAGCAACGATCTAAAAATAATTTTGTCAGATTGTCAAAATAATTATATAAAAGGTCTAAGATTTCTGGAATATTAAAATATTTCACAGCATTGCTAATCACATGCTTAAGTTTACTACATATCTAATTAATCTTTGATGGTTCCGAGAAAATTATTTTCAGATTTGCATCTAACTAAATTTTTCAATATTTCAACAAAATTGTACTTTCCATGCAGAAACTTTTGCTTAAAAAGAGATTTGTTCTTAATTTATTTCTATCACCTCATTTTGGCAACAAATTAAAGTAAAAAAAATTTCTTTTATGAAAAGAAAATAGAACAGAAATATAAATCAAATAAGTAAATTAATTAAATTTGTTTTCATATTACAATTAAATTAATAATAGTATTTTTTTTAATGTAATAATCCATCTTTTATTTAAAATCCACATTAATTATTTACCACTTTCATTTTACAAGATTTCCTTATTTGTTGTGATAACAAACAATATTTCGAGTTTGAATTATTTTTCAGTAATCTGTTATTTATGATCTATTTCTTAAAAATTTCAGGAAGCCGATTTGGCTATATCCGATTTAACTATAACATCCTCCCGCCAATCAGTTGTGGATTTCAGTTTGCCTTTCATGTCCTCGGGTAAATATTGATATTAATACAATACTAATTTATTAAAAAGGATAACATACAAACAAATATTATAATATCGTTATAATTTGTTTTATTCATTACTCATAAATTCTAGGTAACCCAGAAATAAATTAAACATAAGATATTGTAAAAATAAATAAAGAAAAGAAATTTAAAATGTCTATTACGGTCGAAGCTGAATCTTCATCGCTTTAAATAATCAAACTTAAATTACTAACTACATGTATGTATATATACTTGCATATATCGTATTGTAGCCTTTTTCGAACTGCGCGCCGAATTGTTTTTCCGGACTATAAACGCAATTAAAACTACTCTAGTAATCGCGAATTAAATTGACAAGCAATTTTTAATAATTTGATGCTACAATCGAGCATTATATTATAAAGATGTTAATATATTGAAAATAAATACTGTAATAATATACAATTCGAAAAAGATTACAATATGCAAGTACATATATATATATGTATATAATATATATTAGTAATTCAAGTTTGAATTATTTAAAGCAATGAAGATCCAGTTTCGACTGTAATAGACATTTTAAATTTTTATTATTGATTGTGTTTTCACATGTGCATTAATCTAAAATGAAGATTATTAAATAAATAAATCAATAATTAAATTTTAAATTAGGTCACAGCATTTTATTTAGGAAACCGGAAAAGAAAGCACCACCTTTTTTTCCCTTCTTATTACCTTTATCTACAGAAGTATGGCTCTACATGGCTATTGCTTATCTCATCGTATCGATAATGTTATTTGTTCAGGCAAGGTAAGATTTTTAGAAACAAAATATTTAATAGTTTTAAATAAAATTATGAAGTAATAAAAATGTAATAAAAATTATCCTTCTCAAAAAATACTAAAATTAATATTATAATTAGTAGAATGAAGATAACCGTTAAAAAAATGTGACTTGTATTTCGTAAATTTCAATTCTTTCTTAAGAATGGCACCTAATGAGTGGAATAATCCTCATCATTTATCCAATGCTGATCCTGAAGAACTCAAAAATAATTTTAACTTCAAAAACTCGTTCTTCTTAACTATTGGTTCTTTTATGCAACAAGATTCAAACATACTGCCCAAGTAAGCTTTAATATCATTGTATTATAAATAATAAACATATTTTAAATGTTGAAGAAATTATTTTTTTAACCAAGAGAGTTAAATGTTTTAAACTATTACAGTAATTATACATTAATAAAATCACTTTTATTGTAGAGCATCATCTCTGCGCATGCTTGCAAGCATGTGGTGCTTCTTTATTTTGATCATATACAGCTTATATACAGCGAATCTAGCTGCTTTTCTCACTATGAACAAAATGGACATACCTATTAAAGGAATTGAGGACCTGCCCAAACAGACCAAAATTAAATATGGTGCAATAAAGGGTAGCTACACAGCAACATTTTTCAAAGTACATTATCAGCTTATTTATGATTATATTTGGCTCAATATAAAAATAACTTACGGATATGATTCGACATTATCCAATTGTTTAGAATTCGAATTACTCAACGTACAGAAAAATATGGGCTGCAATGATAAACTCTAAACCGAGCGTATTCACATCAAATTATAAAGAAGGTGCGTAATTCCAAAATCAAACATGCACCTCCTACGTGAAAAATACATGAAAAACATTTCTTTAAAATGAGTTACATTATTTGAAAAAAACAATTTTTTCGTTTTTGAATTCTATTTTTCAAATATATTAATTTTCTGTTACAATACGTTCCAGGCATCGATCGAGTTCTCAACAGCAATCGACAATATGCCTTTCTCATGGAAAGTGCCGCTATTGAATATAATATAGAGCGCAAATGCGACTTAATTAAAATAGGTGACGATGTGGTTGGAAACAGTGGCTACGGCATTGCTATGCCACGCAGTAATATAATTTCACTACAATACTAATATTTTTCATATTTCTTTATCTTTATATACATCATTTCTCTTGCATCTCTTCTGTAGATTCTCCGTACAGAACACATATTAACCGTGCGATCCTAATGTTAAAAGAGCAAGGTATACTGGAAGAGTTGAAGACAAAGTGGTGGAAGAATAAGGAAGGAGATTTATGCGAAAAAGATGAAATGGAAAAGGATTCAAGGATATACGAATTAGGGATGGCAAGTCTCGGAGGTCTATTCTTCATTCTAATATGTGGTTGCAGCGCTTCGTTCTTTATCGCAATTTGCGAATTTCTGTGGAATATACGTAAAATCGTTGTGACAGAGAAGGTAAATCTTCACTTTACCTTATTTACTATTAATTTTGTGATAAATACCACAAATAAAGTAAATTCATTTTCTTCCTTTTAAGGAAGAGAAGCACTCAAAAACTTAATATATTGTAAAATTTCTTTCTTTTTATTATAAATTGCGAAACAAAATTTGCGAAGTATAATACGCGAATTTTAACTATATGTATTATATGTCTTTAATAAGTTAATTACTGCATCGTCATATCATTGCAATATACTAAAGAGGAACTTAATCATTTTTAGATCACGCCGCGGGAAGCGCTAGTTGCCGAGTTGAAATTCGCCGTAAACATCTTCGCAATTAGAAAACCCGTTAAAATTGCCAAGAGCAGCAACAATAACATAAGTTCCAGGAAGGATGGACTTGATAGAGCTGTCCATGGCTTGATCTATCATCGATAGATCTATCTTTCTTATGTGCTGATATTCGGTATTATGGTAAAAATCAGGAATAGAAATAAATGTATGTGTTGAAAATTATGAAATTAATTAATTAATTATTTCTAAGGGTATTTTTTTAAGTTTAACTACAAATTTTTTTAAATAGTACAGGGATACTTACATTGAAAGCACTAATTTCCTTCATAAATAAATATTCATACATATATAAATAGATAATGTATAGGTGTTTGTAAAGATGTGTATTAAGCACGGATCAATATATTCACTAAGCTAAACGACTGTACGAGTCAGTCATCTTTGTGTATACCTCTTTTCTGTAATATTATTTTCGAATGTTAATGATACCATCTTATATAACAGTTAACATAAGTATAATTCGCCAATAAGCAAAAATCAAATATGCTTCATCGACTGTAGATATTCAGGCTCCAATCGAGTTGATTAAGAGATTCTTAACATATCTTAAAGCATACATGCTTTAAGATTTAACAAAAATAATTTTATGACATTTTTATTTCTAAAACACAGACTAAAAATATTCTGTTTTGTTAGCATGTATTTAAATAAAATCTTTTTTTATATATATATAAAGCGGTGGTTAAATATTTTATCTCTTATTTATTAACCTTTAATGACTTTTGATTTAGAAAATATGTCTCAATTTATACTGTCAAATGTGAATAATAATATGTGAAACAGATTAATCTATTTCGGTATATATAATGCAAGGAAAAAGTTCACATTACTTGCTTCGACTATTGAATATAATCTAATATGACTATAATCTAATGTGATCGCGATAAAAGATTACAAACATTAACTACTTAAAGTTTTTTATGAGTTACAAATATGCGTAATTTTTATATTGTTATCCTTCATTAATTTACTATTTCATTTATCCACTAATTTTTTTGCTACATGAATAAAAATATATTCTTTGCAATTTTATTTTGAAAATAAGACGTTTGAATTATAAATTAGAAAATTTGTAATAAAGAAAATTGGTCCAAATAGTAAAAACAGAAAAATACAACAAAATATAGATTGTTTGGATTTATTGCAATTTAAACTTGACTTTCTCCCTATTTGTTAGATTACCATAAAAAAAAATATCCCTACTAATTTATTTAATCAAATGAACAAAATATGAATTTATAATCTTAATAATTATTTGAATAACTTATTTGAATAATTTATATTTGAATAAATTATTTGAATAACTTATATTTAAACATAAAAAAATAGAAATATGAAATATCTCTATTAGAAAAATATACGACGTAGTCACTACGATTCTCATAATAACGAACGATGCAAAGCGTATATAAGTTATATGGCTTGGATTCAAATATATATATATATATATATATATATGTGTGTGTGTAAAATGTCATCAAAAGATCGCATTCAAGCATGATAGTAATTTAAAACGGGACGAGAGAATTATTTTTTAAGATCTCAAAAATTTGTGTGTAAATTGAAAAATAAAACGAGTTTAAAGAAGGCTTTACATTGCATTTTTATTCTATAATAATTTTATATATATTGTTAATTTATTATATATTTAATCGATATTGTATTATTTTTCATATATATTATAATTTGCAACTTTTTTGAGGAAAGCCATTTTTGTACCTATAAGCAGGCACAGGGCCTAAGCGCAAAAAAAAATAACCGTAACTAAGTCGTGGAACGTAAGTCGTAGTTCTACGTTGACTATAACATTGTGCGTTGACATACGATTACGATTCACGTTTCACGACTCAATTACGACCATCTTTGTACTAAAGCCCATACTCATGATATAGCTGCAAACATTGCAGCTCAATTTGATATACCGCACATCGATAAATTTTATGCCAATAGCCTCGGGAGTCGAAGGGAAGGCACTCAGTACTGATCTGACCGCGAATTTAATATGCCGATCGTAATAGTCTACTCCTATATTAACGACGCAGTTCGTGCTTTAGTCGTTAAAAATTGAATAAGCTTGACAAGCTTTACAAAGCCTACGATTAGAACACCTCGATCACAGATTTGAATGGCTTGCGATAAATAACGGAATACGCCCGCAACACATGTTTTTTGTTGTAATCAGAAGCCGGCGAATTTATTTTACATGAGGTCAGCTAGACAGCGCCGTACCTTTGTAGTTATAGTAGCCGACTCATTAATCGCCCGTCACACTCGTAATAAGCCCTTAATCTTCCCGCGGGTCCGCTACCTGTGAGAAACTGTTATTCCGGCGTCGTAAACCCTGCGAATCTCGGATATCTTGAGAAATTCTGCATCTTTGGGTGGAGAAGTGAACAGGAGGAAAAGCGTACGAGTGTTCCACCAGATAACTAATCACGGTAATTAATTCATTTAATAAGTAAAATCTCTGTAACTGCGGTCACGTCAAACTGTATAGGGAACTAGACTCACACGATCGAGTATATGTAAGCAATATATCTTTAAGATCTTTTGCGAGAGACGCTGACATCCCAGTCAGAAATGATAATGGAATCAACATCGAATCGACGTCGATTTGAATTCGGAATCGATATCGATTCGATGTCGATTCCATTATCATTTCTGACTGGGACCGTAAACGCAACTTAAGACTCTTAGGAGGAGAAATTTTTTATTGATTTTTTTGTCTCGCGTTTATGAGGTTCTTTGCCGTTAGTCCACCGGCAAACTTTAAATATAAGACAAATGTATATTATTGCGCAAACTTGTAAAAAGGTGTATGCGGTGTATGGCGAAAGTACAAAGAATATACATGTGTCTTGAAGTGTTTGCGAGTCTGTCCAAAAGTGGTTTGCGAGATTTCGTTCCGGAGATTTTTCTGTTCAAGACGCACCATGTTCAATGCTTCTTTGACAGAAAAAAACACGAAGTCCTTGAGCAAGGGATTATAAAATTGTTTGAAAGATATAGCAAATAGTGAATCACGACGGCTAATACATTCTTGACAGTTATTGTCTTCTATAAAGAAATTGTCTTTCATTTAGAGATAAAAACTCGTACGAAATTTGATCAATCCAATACTATGCCGCATTCAATTTCACATACAAAAGCAAAAAACTTTCATTAATTTTTAATGCCGCTAATTTACACATTTTTAATTAGTATTTCTGTTAGATAAAGGAAAATATATTTAGTGCATCAGTTTACATTGTTAAAATATCTTTTAAGCGTTGGAGAGAGAGAGAGAGAGAGAGAGAAATCTTTTCTTGACATATTTTTGATATTTTATCTCATGAAATTATAATTTTGTAAACATTTTTTTTAGAATTTTTCAAAATGTTTATGTAAAATTCAAAATTTCTCAAAATTTCTAAACAATTTTATATACAAACTGGAATATTTTTCATAAATGCCGAGGATGATCCTATATATCTTTTCTAGAATTCTTTATATATGCGAATTCTAAAATATTCTAAGATTTCTGAAATTTTTTAGTCTCTCTCTACAATTTCGGATAAAATTTTACAAAATCTGGATAAGTTCAAGATATTCTTTCAGAATTCTTTATAGAATAAGAAATCTTAAAAATTTTAGAATACTTTAGAATTCATAGATATATGGAAAACTCTAAGAAAAGATGTAGATTTTCTCTAATTTTGAAGAGTGTTTCAATACGTAAGTAAAAATTCTTTAAAAAATGTTCACCAATTCACTTATGTGACAAGAACAATATTAATTCTGCAAATTTGATTTTGGAATGTTCTGTGCAAGTAGATAACAATTAATATACTCGTGATTGACTTCATTAGAGGACTCTCTAAAGCTACAAATTCGCTCCAAGCTTAATTACAATCATGAGCGGTGTCAATGCATTTTTCTCAAACGAGATTGTGCATTGACGTTTAGAATGATACGTCGGAAAATATGCGCGAAGCCGACAAACGAGATTAATCGTCGCCGAATACGGTGAGCTGTTGCACTCGCAATTAAAGTACGTTAATAAAGCACCGGAGGCAAATTGTTTCGCGCTCAACGGAATGTGAAAGTAGATAAGTTGCCGCAACTAGCTGTGTACCTCGTGCCGGTCTCGATGGCGAGCGGCAAACCTCATTATCGATTTCCAATTTAATTGAGGTCGGTTTCGTTAACGGATTACGGCCGGATCGGTTCCGCAAACCAATTCAACATTCGGAACAAATGTCATTATCACGATCAACGACTTACGGGCAAGCTTGACTACGTGCCAATTAAAATGCCACCTTCAAACTGGTGACTGCCGGACTTAACTTTTTCATCATCGCGCGTAATCTCCATCCATAAATATCGATAAGATCAGCGGGAGCGGATCAAACCGGATGATTACATAGCAATATTACGTTATGCAAGCTCTGACTTTTAAACTGTCAACGTCGTTGAATTTTACGGCTTAATTTAAAAGATCATAAATCAAGCTCTTGTCACGATGTAATTAACTAATAATGTTACAAAGGAAGTGACTGTCACTAAAAAGGAGACATTAATATACATATCCCTTTATAACAATTATCCTGAAATAACCGCAGCTGGCCGGAAACTTACGGCCCACGCAACGGTATACTCGTTATTCCCATCGTTTGCCCGTGAAAAAATATCGAAATATACTTTCTATCATCGTAACGTAACCGTATATCAGAAAAGTGGATGTCGTATATTAGAAGGCACGGCAAACGGCGATGGCGTTTCTCGAGATGGCGTGACTCCAGCGCTATCGCATGGCAACCTTGCCGTGCATTATCGCCGATTAATAAGCCCTACGTTCTAAGAAAGTACCTCGGGGTTACGTACTTACTCGACATGCATCCCGCGTTCATGGATCATCGCCACGAGGGAGAGGAAGAATTGCCTCGGTCTTTAACATCGCGCACTCATCTCTTTTATGTGCGAGAGAGAAAGAGAGAGAGAGAGAGAGAGAGAGAGAGAGAAAGAGAGAGAGAAGGAAGAGGGTGGAAGGGAAGTGGGGCTGATCACGGAACTTACAGACACGGAGAGATGATTTCGAGTTTCCT